ATCTAGAACAGTGGTTCTCAAAGTGGGGTCCGGGAACCCCAGGGGTCCTTGGGGTTGGGAGTGGGTTCCTGGGTGTCCCCAGCAAAAAGGGGAATCATTTGTTTCCACTATAACTCCATCCATAAGTAACACAATGACAGACTGTATGAATATGTTGGTCATGGGTTTCAAACACTTTCTGTAATAAAACATCTAATAGCAAATACCTTGTGTGTGATGTGGGATCCTCGTCTAATTTGTGTCAGTTTAGGGGTCCTTGGTGTGAAAAGGTTTGAGAAACACTAATCAAGAAAAGGTTTTTTTCTATTAATCAATTAATAATTTGGTACATCTCATTTGAGAAACTGCAACCAGTAAATCTTTGGTAGTGTTTTTTTTTTTTCGCTTGAATAGTGACTGACAGAGTCAGAGTATCACAATAGTTGAAGTTGAATGTTTTTCTTTTTGTTTTCACTTGACAGTTCTCACAGTTTACATTTACATTTCACATAATAGTGGAGCTTGAGTGTTTCGAAAACAGAAGTGAGAGTTCCTGTCCTGCTGAAAGACATGAAACTCCCCGCTCTTTAAACATGTCCTTAAGTGTTCCCCTACTTGGGTAATGTTAGAAAAATCCAGCTTGGACTCAGATTCCTACTACATTACCCAGAACTGTCCGGAAAACAATCAGCACTGTTCTCTGAGCCAAGTTACAAGGTCTGAAACAAGGAAGGTGTGGAAACAGCATGGCAGGAGGAAAAGAGTGACGAGTGCTGCAACTGAAGCAACAATGCGAGACACTGCACTTGGTAGTGAAAACGCTGTTGTGGCAGCAGGATCACAGTTTGAAGGCCTACAGCTGCCCCCCTTTTACCAATGTTAGCTGGACTCCAACACTGACTCTGCTCATTGTTTTTCTCCTCTGTTTCCTCAGGATGTGGGGCAGGGTCTGTTGCCTAAGCGATGAGGTCAGCCATGCAGCTTTCTCTTCCCCAGACCCAGAACAGGATGGGTGTGGAGCTCGGGAACAAGACTGATTTACAGCCCCGAGCTTCCCTCTGGCCTAGCAGGCGAGCCCGCTGGTTAGGGCCGGTATGCACTAACCTTGCAGCTCTCATGGGGTGATGATAGCTAGTCTGGTAACACTAACTCTGTGCTGCCGACGCACTGGGACACAGAAACCACTAAAGACCTTCTAAGATCTTTTGGTATGCTGTGCAAACGCTGTAAACATTTAAGACCATGCTGCTTCTACAACAGCCAACTTTTACTTCTGCCTGGAGAATATGGCCTTCCTCTACAAGGTGATTAACTGATATAGTTACAGTAAATCTAACAGGACTGCTGCCTGATTACAAAAGGCATGTATGTGTAGCAGGTGCTGCTGTTTCAGCCCTCATAACCACCGCCTGTAGCTACACATGGACCTGTGTGTGGGTGAAAATTGAGCTGAGTGGCTCATGCGGTTGTTAGGCCTGGCTGTGACAGACCCATAGATGCTCTCTGCTGCGTTTTTTTGTTTTTGCAAGAATAAGGCATGTTTGTATATTGGCAGGTTACTGAACTCTACCGTGCAATATTCTGTCTTTAATTTACGTCTTCTTCAATGTTTTACTTGCTGAGCCAATCTCATTAAAGTAAATAAAGATTAAGCCACATTTGTCTACAGCTGTGTGTATAAGCTGACTTACATACAGACGTCTAATAATTACTAGCTACATAATAGTCTGTAAAGGAAACAGCTAAATCATGAAGGGTGTAACAATATGCGTCAGTTCTTTTGCTTTGTGTATGTTGCTGCATTGTGCAATTTTCTGGTCACATTACGAAAACTAACCCAACTGATTTGATCTGTACTGGATTAACTTGCAAGAGTTCCCAAAGTTAGGTGCCTTTGGGTCCTTATTTCTGTTTCTATTTTGATTTAATGATGCTAAACAAATACATACACAGTGAATCAAACTGCCACACAGTGAACCTGGAGCTCCTGGGGTAGTTGCCCACTTCGCCAGGTCGATAACAGAGGGATTTCACAATCAAAAGGAGTATAGCATGCTTGAGTCTTATTCTCCCTTTAGTCATGACCCTCCAGTGTAATGCAAGGCTGCACTAATCCATTTTCTTCTGTGTTAACCTGCAGACATGAAGCGGGGCGTCCACAGCCCAATGAGGTCAGCCTGCTTGAATCTCACACGATCGTGAGGAATTCACAGAGAGTCGAGTGGCGGCTTCTTATCCCACAAACATGAAACACAGAAGCAAAACAGGCAAACAGACAGGACACTGTCACATATGGTTTCAGGGCCACATCTGGGTGAGGACCTGTCCCCCTGGGCCAAATCAGTAACGACAGTGAAGTCAGGCCTGGCTGCCACCTGGCCTGGACTGATTGGAGAAAACCTCTGGAAAACTGTGACTCAGAGGTGCAGACTGGAGGAGTGCTCACACTTTGCTGAGGGAATTCCCTTCCTCGAGTGCTAACCAACACGGGCAGATCGATACCAATTCAAAGACGGAAAGAGTAGAGTGTGATCAGGTTTCCAGACACCTCCATGTAGACCTGTCAGTCATCAGTGAGCCTCAGGACAAGGACTTGTGGGGGCTTGTTAGCTGGGGATTTACTGGAAGTACAGTTGACCACAGTCATAAAGTATTTACAAATATTTAACATGGTTTGTTCTTGCATATTTAGGGAGGACATGGGAGGGGTTAGCTACATGATGTGTACAATAATGTTTAGATTTTAGTAGCAGAGCAGCTGAATGACATTTAAAATTAATGGTTTTGCTCAAAGCTCAAAGACCTTTTTACAATCTCGACGTGTCTCCAATTACCAGAGGACTTGTGTTTGAGGAGAACCAACTGAAACCGACAGCCCTCCCTCTGGTGGTAGTGGTAGGAGGTGAGTCATGACCCAGAGAGTATTTGGCCTTAGACCCTGATACAGAGTGATGTTCGACATTCCTCTGCAGCCTCGCCCCCTTCTTCAGCCTGCTGTTCTCACTACTTCAGTGAGGCTGCAGGCTCCCTCTCCACCAACAATCAGCCCTTTCACTAGCCCATGGCAGCTAGAGCATCTAATGTGCCCTGGAGGTATTCTCACAGCAGGCCAAGCTCAAAATGTGGGCCATCGTCTCTCCACTTAAACAATTCACAAATCTACTGCCTTTCTACTTTGGGAGTTCAGGACAATGGAAGCACTCCTACAGATACCTGACAGGCAAAACAAGCGATTTATTCTGAATTAGCAAGGTAAATATAGCAAACTGACCAGCTGGTGAAAACTATGACAACAAAATTAGAAGTTCAGAGGTTCAGGGCCAAAGGTCAAGGACCAATGAACCGAAGAGGAGGCTGGTTAAAGTGGCACAAAAAAAATAGATGGAGTTGACTGCATGGAGTTACCCCGGCAGGATAAATTATTAATTGTCATCAGTGCTGGTAATAGACATGGGGGTGATAAGAGTATCTTAAAAGTGGAGCCAACAGAATTTGTTGCTTTAATGATTTGTCAATCGATAGAAAAATAATGGAGTCAATTTTGATTATTGATTAATTGTTCAGACATTTATTAAGAAAAAATGCCAGACATCACTACTTCGATGTGAGTGTTTGCCGTTTTTCCATGTTTATAACAGTGACAGTCGAATATCTTTGGGTGTTGGACTGATCGTCATACAAATCACACAAATCACCCAGTTACTCTGGGCTCTGAATTAGCATTAGTCAATGTATAGAGCTTAATAAATGATAACTCCCCAAAAATAATATGAGTAGTTAAAACAACTTATTCATCAATCAGCACACACACATTTGTAGTAAATGTAACTTTAACACGAAATGAAACATCAAAAACAGGCACCATCAACGTGCTGGAAAAAACCTGCTTTTACCTAGTAAGTTTATCTACTTTGACAGCCATTTTGACAGATAACCATTGGACCAATCAGAGATTCATGTTCTACTGAGAAATGGTGTCAAGTAAATAAATAATCAACTGTTAATTTTTAAAATGTAGCCACTGTGGCTGGTAGCCAGAAGTTACGTTTATGTCTTGGAACCATATGATATGAAGACACTTCTAATTTATTAATGTGAAATTAATCATCAGTTAACCAAGCAATTGTGTAGCAGCTCCATCCATTAAAGTAGCAGAAATCAACAGGATAAGCACAAGGTCAGGACCCTACCAACAACTACCACTATTTTACCTACAACCAAGTGTTATCAGCACCTTTGACATACTGAGAGACCATGTTCAGTTTCTTTTGAGTGTTTTTTTTCCTCTTGAATTGAACTTGTGACTCCCACATGTCTCATTATGTACAGTATTTAACAAGCAGTACAATTTCAGCGTTTTCTACTGTCCAAATGACACCTTTGTCTCCCGTATCAAGACTTTCCAAGGGAGAGTATGTTCAGTTAAGTATCACTAGCAGTTAAGGCTGCTCCATCGGACTGGAGATCCATTATAAGCCAGCCAAGCCAGGGCTGAGCTCACATTGTGCTGCACTGAGCAGTCTAAATGGGGAGGCCTGTTGACTCCACCACTTCAAAGCTGGAATGAATAGCCTGGGGGCAAAAGTTGAGGAGGTAATGTTAAAGCTCGATGTCAAAATGTCAGCCAAATATCTCCTCCCTCTGGCACACATGTTGATAAAAACAGGTTGATTTAAATGAGGTGTTATTATCAGAAACATCCACCTACTACACGGTGGAGAGTTTAAAAGGAGGTGGTGGTGAAGGCTAACCATGTCCAGCCGTTAAGTTACTACGCTGCTTATATATATTAAAAAAAACAAAAAAACAAAGTGGGTAAAATGAGAAATGTGTCACACAGTCACACTGCACTGTAACACAATTATCTCGCTTTTCCTGAGCTGTGTGACTACACTGGGCCACAAAGTGTCTTTTCAACGTAAAATCTCGTCGTTAACGTTAACTCCTCCACCCTGCTCTCCGCTCCTCACTGACCGCTGTAGCAAAACACCGAGCTTTGTAAAAACAACTCCATAACTTACCTAAATCGTCCATAGTGGCTGCCTGGTCGTGGCCCGTGTCAGCTTTGTGTTCGGTGAGCCTCTCGACTGTTTACGAAGTCTGAATTTTCCTCCCAGAACTTCACCACTGCTCCTCCTGGAAGTTGGTCAGGATAGCTCTCGTGAACGCGCTGCGATTTGTGCATGTGTACTTCACTTGAGCGCGCGCTCTGACTGAGGCTCAGTAATGAGCGATATCTAGTGGCCACAGGGAGGAACTACACATTAATTTATGATTCGATAGATTAGATAGATAGATAGATAGATAGATAGATAGATAGATAGATAGATAGATAGATAGATAGATAGATAGATAGATAGATAGATAGATAGATAGATAGATACTGAACTAACACTAAAACATATACCTAGGACCACACTCTACTGTAACTCTGAAGTTGAAAATAACTATACAGTGAATCACTCTGTATATGGACTTCAATGAAATACAGGAACATATACAGGTATCTAATAAACAGGATGAGTGTAGCATGCAGTAAACAGGATTTGAAAGTGTAAGAGGACGGTGAACATGTTTACTGTTTGCTTAAGTATGAATTTAAATTAAATGTGGCAAAAGGGCACAGCTAGATTGTACTGCTATACATCCCCAGCAGCAAGCATCCTCCTCATCTGAAAAACGTAGAAAAATGGAGACAACACTGAAAACATGGGATAACGCATTTATTAAATCAGTTCATAAAACACCTTGGAATGTGACCATGAATGTAATCATATCCTCCCCAGAGATTGGTGCAGTGGGACATAAGAGGTAGCATAAAATAAAGAAATAAAACATGCTGTCTGTGTGAGATTCCAGTAAAATTTAACTAGAAAATGAAAAAAATGTTGCAAGTCCTTGTCTCTGCACTTCACATAACACAGGACTACACTTGTTAGGTGTGTGTAGATATTTAGTATTTAAAAATCCAAATGATGCGGAATCACAAAGTTTAATAATTAACTGAAAACAGAAAAATACTTAATTTCATACCAAAGCATTAACATAAGCAGAAAATGTTCCACTTTTTCCCATCTCCTATGTGTGTTGTACAGATGGCAAATTACTACAAAAACCACTGGATACATGTACCATTCAGCTATTATTGAATAGTACCCTAAGGTAAACACAAATTTCTGTGTCCACATAGTATCTCAGTGATCCAGGTCAGCAGCTGTAAAACAGCAGTGAATGGACATTCTGGTGTAAAGACACAGCACTAGTGTAAGAGGTTTTCTCAATTTTACTAAAAATTTAATGTAACAAACATATGAACTTAATGAATATTCTATTAATGATGAATGAAAACAAATAAGAGATTTGGTTTCTTAGACTAGTCTTTTCCCATATAAAACACAACAAAAGTGGTTTATTCTAAAATTGAATTATACATCTTCAGTCCTATAGTAAATAAACAGGTGATAATAACTGTCAAAAGTCTACTGATTTCAGCTTCCTCTCCTCCTTCTCGGTAAGGGGCTGCTGGGAGAGGATTTTGTCATGCAGACGGTGGTGTTTGCCTATACCCAGTTTCGGCAGACCTCGGTTCAGCCCCTCTAGCAGCACACAGGACTTGCACAGTGCTTGGCTGGAGATGTAGCCGCAGCGATTACAGGTCCCCTGCACAGGCATCTTCACCCCCTCCCGCACAGACAGGTTCTCACCGGAGTGAATGATATCAATGATGGAGCTGGGCCTTACGCTCTCCAGGTCCTTTAAAAAGGTCCTTGCATAGCCACGATAAGCATTGGGAGAGTAGATACACTCTGTGGAAAAGTAGTCCAACTTCTTAAAGTAAGCGTACAGAACAATTTCTTTTTCATACGCATATTTAAGGGGCTTGCAGCGCGGCACGACCCCTTCGCCCTCGCTGGCTGTGGAGATGGCAGTGCAGCGACGCAGTCGAGCTATGTCACCTCGCAAGACATTCATCAAAACCGTTTCTGCCACGTCGTCAGCATTGTGACCTGTACAAAAAAAAAAAACCACATACAGCTATTGAAACAAATTCTAAAAAAAAAATTATTCTTTGACATTAACACTGAGGCTGCTATCATATTTCAAGGTTAAAACTTGTATTGATACTTTAATAATGCCATTTGGATTTGAAGTTACCTGTACATATCTTGTCCACTTTCAGCATGATGGCTCCTCTGTCTAATGCCTGCCGTCTGAACACTCCACAGAAGGTGCAGTTATTTTTCAGTCCCACCTGCTTCACTATAGCATCCATAGTCCAGCCATACAGCTCCTCATAAGACACAATCTTCAGTGGCAGCTCATACTGTTGCTGATTCCTCTTTACGGTCTCCAACGAGTCGTCTCGGTAACCAGTGATTCCCTCATCCACTGAGAGAAGCATAAGTTCAAGGCCATAATTGTATCGCTCATTTAGGAGCTTCATTACATGTGCAAGCACTGTAGAGTCCTTCCCTCCTGAGGCAGCGATTCCCACTATTTCCCCAGGTTTGAAGAGCTTTGCTGCCACGATCGTCTGATGTACCTCCTCCTCGAAGGCCCAGAAGAAGCACCCCTTACACAACGAGTGGCCCGTCTTTGGACGTTTCAGCACAGCTCGTTTCTCAGTACAGCTGCTGCACAGGACAGGCATCTTTACTGTTGGAGGAAGTTTGTTGAATGATGTTAGAAATTAGCTAAACAAATGTTCCCAAATATTTTCATGTCAAATTCCTGTGAATAAATGAACCTATAATTCCCCATCTTTTTGTTGCAGATGTTTCAATACAGTCTGTTTCCGGTACATGGATTATCATTCATTGTGGTATCAAATCCCGTCCTTTCACCATGTTCACACTTGATATAAGTGATTTTTACAGTATTATTTTGGTAAACATACCCCTGAAATACCTACATCTAAGACTCCAAAAAGTTTAATATACTGGCTGTGCTTTGGGAAAGCTTCTATCAGACAAATACATTATTTTTCTAAAGAAGAGCTCATCACACAGAATACTACAAATCTGGCAATTAGCCCACTATGTGATTCAATATACATAGGCAAACATTGTCTTTGTCCCAGTTCAATACTACATACATACACACACACACAACAGTATGATAAGCTGGAGAAGTGACAGTGATTCATTATACTCGGTGTTAATTTGCTTATTAAACTAACTTTAATTAACTTTTACTGTGTTGTTAATTGGTGCCACTGTCACACATTGTGCAGCAAAACAAAATGGAGCAGCTATTTACACACGGACATTTTGGCTAACTCACCTTTTACAACATACGGGTATTATGAAAAAAGGTAAGAAGCCACAGTAACATCAGTGAATGGTATGTGTTCACGATATGCCGAATTCAAGAGTTGGAACAAATGACTCATAAAACGCCTTTAATCGTTATTTTACAGGAAATGTACTTTGGATAAGAAACAACACTTTTTTTAAATGCCAGTTTTGAAGGTGAATCTTGGCTAGCTAAGTTAGGTGTGAGGTTGGGTCTGTCCCCAGCAACAAAAACTTACTAGGCTGAAGTTGATACAGACGACAACTACAACCTTTCATATAACTGTTTGAAATGAGTTAATACAGGTAAAGCACGCGATAAATGACACTTAATTATCAGGTTTAGTAGCTTGATTATAGTCCAGCGACACCAAACTCAGAATCAACAACATTAAACGTGTTTCTCGCTAGCCAAGTTAAGCTAATAGTTAAATATATGTTATTTAACATTTCATACCAAAGTTTCCGATGAACCGAGGTCTGAATTGAGAGTGCGGGGAAGAAATACACGAGGAAAAGTACTGATAAAATATAACTTTTCTTACATAAACAAGATAAGTTTTACACGACTGGGTTAAGTAGCATGTTGTTTCATCATGTACCGTCAGCTCTTCCTCACCGGAAAACAGAGCGTGACTCACACGTCTGCAGCACAGCCTAGCGGTCGGGGGTTGAAATGTGCACATGAAGCTGTAATAATGAAAGCCCTGAAATGCATCTGTGGTGCCTTCATAGATGATTCAAATAGTTAATAAACATTACTGGCATAGCTTTAAATCCTTCCCTGTAGCGTGTTGTTGAGAAGTCTGTAAGCAGACGGCAAATCAGAGGTAAACCACACAACCAGGTCAAATGTAAGCAATAAAGATTTATTAATTTGCTTCAAAGAATGTCACTATTGCAACAGCTGCAATAGATATCAAAATGCTTTGTGGTGTACATGAAGGGCAAAGGGTTTGCTGCTGGCGGGGAGTAAGGCGGCCGAGGTCAGGGTTCATGACAGGGAAGAGTCACAAGCTTAGTTGACGGGGTGAAAAGCGCCCCTCTGATGCCACTGCATGTCTCTGATGCGCCTCACCGACTGGATCTGAGGAATCTGGGCTCCGAACTCAATGCTGTCCTTATACTCCCCCTTTTCAAACAGGTACTGATAGCCTCTGTAGCCTGGATACTGATAGCCCACCCAACTGGAGCACCAGCACGGAGAGTGAGGGAGAAGAGAGAAGACAGAGTTAGAGGTCAAAGGACAGTGAAAAGAGTATCATACAACATTTTTCTTGCACGGTGGACTCACGTGCCACTCTGAACCCGAACAGAAGAAACCTTCTCCTGGTAGCCGTGTGCGTGAAAGCTGGGGACATCGTCATCTATGATTTCTATCTTCTTCCCTGCAAAGCTGGGGTTTTCGTAAAGGACAATCTTGTGCTCCTGGCTGTCCTGAGAGAGCAACAAAACAATCCAGTGGGTGATTTATTTGTTGAGCCACTGTTGGGATGACTGATGGGGGGGTGGGGGGGGGATAAAAAAAGTGTGCTGTCTTACCACTTTAATCGGGCGGAATGCAACAATGGTGTCACTGCGCCTGCTGTTGGTCCAGGAATCCCAGCGAGGATACTCCCCCTTCTCAAACACATACTGCTCCCCCTTACAGCTGGCCTGCTCGTATCCCACCCATCTGAGAGGCCACAGGAGAAAAAGATGGAGGGTTGTGGTTGGTGCAGGAAATAAAGCTACTTAAATATATGTACCACATATTCATTTGTTTTTCTGTCCATTTTTTCCCACGCCATCCCTCTGCTCATTGAGGGTCAGTCCCTCTTTGTCTGTCAGTCATCTCCTTGTTTTCTGTCTGTCTCTGACCCACACTCACGGTCCACACAGCACCAGTATGGAGCCCACTTTCTCCACGCCTGCTTCCTGGAGGTTGTTGCAGGGGCCAGTCAGCTCATGGCAGCGTCCCTGGAAGTTTTCCTGCTCATAGATAACCAGCTGTGTACCAGTGGGAGAAAAGAAGAGAATATGTGTGAAAGAGTTCTGTGAGTGTTATTGAGCTACTGGTCTTAATTTCAAGCATGTCCATCTGTTGCCATTCTGATGTTTGGGAGATGCAAGCATCTAAATAAGGAGAGCGCACAAGTGCTTACAAGAAGGAGGAAGTTGTAAATTGTGTTTGAGTCAGTCTCTGCCTGTCCTCACCTTAAATGCACTGGTGCCTGGCTGCTGCTGCTTGGATGCAGGGTTCTGGTGGTCTGTGGCCATAGTGAACGGATCGGCAAGGATAAAACTGAAAAGAAACAAAGACTAAATTATAATTTTATTGTTTCTGATAAATATCTATGGAGGTTCACATAATCTAAAAATTTATATATATATTAAAGCTAAAATCTGAGCAGTTCAAACTGCTATTAATCCCTCTTTTACAGATTTTGTTTTCTATTATTTTCTCATATTCAAAAGTGCCCATTCCTGTCCCTCCAAAACAAATTCACAACCATCTGAACATAGAATTACTGCATTGCAGCATGGGATAGAGTTTGTAAAGATTAAACCTAAAACATAGTTGCAAAAGAAAAACAAGCGGTTAAAAAAAAAAATTATAAAGGTAAACTTAACAAAATACAGCACAACGGATATAAACCCCTTACCAGTACCTGTCTGTGCCAGTGTGTTTGTGATGGCACGATCAGCTCAATATATACGGGATGCCCAGGGGTGGAAACTTTGCCAACAGTACCCAAAGCGTCCAAGCTGGCCTGCAGATCGGCCTGCCATAGGCCCAGCACACTGAAATGAGGGGTCACCGTGTAGCCTCCCCCCTCCCTGGGGTGTCACACTCCCACAAAGTTATTTCATTAGTTGTCAGTTTTGTCCAGCCAGTCATTGTTCGATATCCACATGATTCAGCACAAACAGTGCCAAGAGTTCCACACCTACAATGAAAGGGAGAGAGAAAGAGAAGGATTGTAAAAGATGGGGTTTACTGTGCTGGAGAGATTGGGACTGAACTGAATAACAGTCCAAACACTGCTGAATATTTACACAAGTGTAGGTTTATTTAGTATTTCATTTCTAGAAAACAGTCGTATTGTTCAATGTGAAAATCCATTGCCGCTGCTGTTTGCAAAGATAAAAGAGAACAGCGCCTGTGGTTGGATTCAAGTTCAATCAAATGACATCTTTCTCCTGTTGACAGTAAAAAAAATTTTAAGTGACAATCCATTTTATTCAATGTAAGTAATATGGCACCCGAGTAAAGTAAATACATGTAGTGAAGCACTGTGTCAAAGTACAACTTTGAGGTTCTTGTACTTGAGTATCTCCATTTTATGCTCAGAAGGAAAATCTAATAGTTTTTACTCCACTATATTTATCTGACAGCTGCAGCTACAGACCAACTAAAGAGTGATTTCCCCTCCAAACATCTCAGATGGTTTCAATTAAATAATTGTTTGAAGCCCAACAAGGTCAAATTATCCAATATTTCACAAAAACAGCACAGTCCCTAAATCAGTATCATTTTGTGCAGCTGTCTTTTCTTCTTTTTCTTCTTTTCTACCATATTAATCTCACAACCATCAGATTTATCTTGTGACCGTTTGGAGGGGGTCGATTCCTGGGGTGGGATCCACTGAACTAAAGTACGTAACTGTATGTAAAGTAGATAAAACTATCTTCACCTCCACTAACTACAACAATAAAATGCTATAACTAACAATAAACAACATTTTGCTTATAATAACGTCTTCTGTACTGTTACTTCTGTACTGTTATTTTGAGTATATTTACATTGTTTACTGTATAAACAAGTAACGATATAAACACTTCTTCTACTGCTGCAAAATGGTTCATTTCCTCTTTTATTTAGTTTTAATGACCTGATATCTGCATGTGACAATATCACGAGGGGACAGAAGTTAAAAATATATATTGTGTGAATATGGAGAGAAGTCATTTTTGAGCCAAGTGTAAATCTAAGCATTTAAATAATATGTATAACTTAAACACAACTGGGTCAAAACACAACTGGGTCAACTGAGTCATGTGTGACTTGTGAGGACAGATAAACTAAAGTGGAGGTTGTAGATCTGAGGTTTTGTGTTGGTCTGTTTCAATGTAGAGGCAGAGGTGTGTCTACTGAAATACTTTACTTCTGTGCCATTTTTCTGCGCTTGTTGTGATACTTTAAATGTTTGCTCTGCTGCCTTTAATAGGGATCTTTTCACTTGGAGGTCATGGTGTAATTACAACACGGGTTAAATCCACTTTTCTCCTGCACACGTGCAGTTAGAAGGTGTCTGCATGGTCTTGAAGGCACAGCTCAGTGGGCATGAGAAGCATGTGGCAGTGTGAATACAACAGAGTATTTATGTTGGTATATAGGTGCAAAAGAGATTTTTACTTCAATGAGATACCTGATGAAATTTACTGTGAAGACTTCTATGCAATTTGTCTTTCTTAGACAGTGGTGTTAAGGTGTTCAGTACATTACATGATCCCCATCACAGCTGCCCTGCACCCTGAAGCTAACAACTGACCACCTCTAGCATTGATACTAAGGATACTGTCCAAGCAATCCTCCTGTTAATTCAGAGAGCTCATACCGTATTTTGTTATTTACCAATGAAAACAGTAGTGTATCAACCTCAGTGACTCCTCCCCTCACCCACCCACCACCTGTATACAGTAGCTCCAGCGGCGCTGACCTGACCTGGTGCTCTGACCTGTGTGAGGACGTCCATAAAGATCAATGCAGTTCTGTCATCTTGTGGTTGTCTTTCCATTTTTCAAACACCAAGATAACTTCCCCAGGGGTCACATAACACAACTGTCATATTACATTATGGTGCTGGGTACCTCAAAGAGCTGATGAATATAACAGTATGTGTGAACAGAGTGTGTTTTATTGAACTGACATACAGTGAAAGTCCTGGATGGAGACTGTGAGGATCATGGGCCTCAGCTCTTAAACTACTCACATCATGTGTAAAATGCTCCACCTCCTGTAGATGACTAAACCTCAGAGAGCAGAAACAGATCCAGTCGGCCCTAATTACCTCACAGTCAGAAATAGTTCAGTGAACTGTTTGTGGTGCATTCAAATGTTGTTTCATCATCTAAATTAATCTAATAGAGGAGTGTGCTTCTATAAGACAGATGGCCAGTTTGAGATACAATCAGGATTTTGGCAAATTCAGGTCTATGAGTTTTTGTGTTGAAAGACATGTGCTGCTTTTTCACTTCATTACACTTCATTTCAGTTCAACAGAACCAGGAAAAGATTGTATGAGGGAGCACTGGTTAATTATCTGTTTTTCCTGAGATTACAGCCAAGATTCACAATCAACATCTGGTTTGCAAAATGCAGGCCTGAGCCTACATCTAGTGTTCATGAGGAATATAGTATAAGCCTTTGCATGTATTGAGGACTGTATCAAAGACTTTAAGGGTACAAAAAGCAATATAGCTCCATATTTTAGTGCAACCCCTTTTGTGTACGTCTGAATTAGGGCTCTGGGTGTTAGAGCTCACGTCAACAAGACTTTATGCTGCAGTGAGAAGCACAGACTTCACTGTAGGACTGAAAGTGACACTACAGCCCAAAAATAGCTCATACACACCATGAAAATTAGTGTTAGAAATCCAGATAATCCTTATTCAGTGTGGTCAACCCCCCTGGACTCAATATGGATTGATGTTATGATGTGTTTTCTTAAAGCTCACAGGTAGAATGCATGTTTTTTTTGTCGTTGCATGTATGCATTACTGTCATGCTAGAAAATCTAAAGCATAGGGAAGAACACAGTGTCACTCTATTCTGTTTTTAGACCTCTAAAGGTCTCTTCTTAATCATGTTATAGAGGGAATTGTTTATATTTTTGAATAATACATCAATAGTACATTGAAATATTAGCCTGCATGTGCACTTTTATGTCATCATTAAAAGTAATCATCTGTTTGGATGAGAAGTCTAATATTTAACTTATCAAAACTATGCCCATAGCTGATATATTTTTCAATATTTACATGATTTTAATGTAGTATATATTAGCTCCTATATTAACCTGGTGACCATTCATCACGAGGATCATTAACCATCAATTGCACAGTGATGACTGTGGATGGGAATGCCGTGCACTCTGTTTTAATAGCGAGCATACGTACAGTATGACATCATTTCCAGTACTGTTAAGCAGATGCGTGTTCACATGTTGACTGAATAAGTCATATGCTCCTAATGCTGGATGAGCCGTCTGACTAAAGTGGGGAAACACAGGCAGTAAAAATGGCACACATGCCTTGGAAATGAATTCAGCTCTAAACACATCTGCAGTTTATCTGGAAGAAAAATATCTGCTGCACTATTTCCACATCGGTGTCATCACTGATAGTGGTTTTTCCACATCTTTACTATCTCAGTTTAAGCTATAATTTCCACCTTGACGCATAAGTATGACATCATCAACAACAGGGCCGACTCCAGGTCAAACAACTTTTATTCGCCACTGAAACATACATGGCACTCCTCACTGGGCACAAGCAGCGTTTGCCATGGTTAGGTTAAGGCAGAGGGCAGGCACTGTTGTCAGCGTGGGGGGAGGCTATGAGGGTAAGGATCCTGCTCAGCTGGCTCCAGCTGTTGCAGGGGGGGCAGGAGGTGCTGGGGCGGGGTCGGGGTCGGGGCCGGGGCCGGGAGCTGGATCTGGGTCAGGAACGGTGAAACAGCCCCTCTTGTGCCACTGCATGTCCCGCACACGTCGGACAGACTGGATCTGGGGTGCAGGGGCCTCCCAGTCATTCCAGTGCTTGAAATCTCCTCGCTCAAAGATAAACTGGCGGCCTCTGTAGCCTGGGTACATGTAGCCGACCCATCTACAGGAAGGGAAAACAGAAAATACTAGATTATAATAACTTATTATCTTGGAGTCAGACAGGTTAAACAGAAAAAAACAAGAGAAATGGATGAAATGGGGATGTAGGGAGGATCTTACGTTCCGTTAAGAGCCTTGACACTTGCTACACGATCCTGAAAACCGTGGCCCCACAAACTGGGAACATCATCATCAACAATCTCCATCTTTCTACCTGTAAATCCAGGGTTCTCGAACAGGTGTAGCTTGTGCTCAGCGCTGTCCTGTTGGGGAGAAACAGACACATGGATACTTGGTAAAACCAGGTAAAACAGTGATGGCAAAATACAAAATTAAAAGAGTTACTGGTAAAAAAATAACATATGGGCAGCTTCCATTTGAAACACTGCACATGTTAGTTTGTAAGATCTTGTTTTGCATTGAGACGAGCCACTCACCACTTTGAGTGGCCTTACAGACAAGAGGGAGTAGCTGTTCTGACTGTTGGTCCAGGTGTCCCAGCGTGGATACTCGCCCTTCTCCAGAATAAACTGCTCCCCTGTGAACCCATGTCGATCATAACCCACCCAGCTGTGAGGGAAAAAAGGAGAACACAGTTGGTAACATTTATCTAACACCACATCAAACATGACAAGGTTAATAACACATTTCTTGGTGCGTATGTGAGGGAAGATTTGTCCTTTACAAGCTAAGTTAAATGAAAGATGCACTTTACTCACGGTCCTGACTCGACTATCACAGATCCGACCTTCTCCAGTCCCTTCTCTGACACATCTTTAGACTCTGCAGAAAACTCCGCCTTGCAGCCCTGGAAGTTCTCAAATTCAAACAGCACCACCTGAATCACAGAGAGAGAGAGAGAGAGAGTGAGAGAGAGAGTCATGCATGTCACCAGGAAGTTTGAGATCAAGACCTCCAAGAAGTGGCATTTAATGTCTACGAAGAATTCATGTGGTGATGATATGATACAGACAGGATCCAAAGGAAAGTGTAAGAGTAAAGCAGTGGAGCAGAGAGGAATTCCCCCTCCCATGCAGCTTTTCATCTCTGGTCAGTACCTTATACGTGGCTCCAGCTCCACCCTGGCTCTTCCCAGCAGCCAGCTGCTCCGGGGCACTCTGCTGCTCCGACATCCTCCTGATCCACTGCTCCTCCACTTTTTGGCAGCAGCACACACACAGACAAAGCACCATCCATCATACATGTACACACGGGAAAAAGATATGCACACAGGAGGAAAGCTCAATGTCATAGTTGCAATTTATAACTCACCCTTGAACAGGAGGATTGAATTCATTTTGGCTTAAAGTAAAGTAACAATCATGTGCATAGTATTCTGTTAACATGATATCAACTGACACAAAAGATTACAGCCTGATTCCTTAAAGTAAACAGTCATCAGTCCTTTACAGGTTCAGTTACAATCCATGAGTCCTCCAAACCTGGGTCTTCACTGATGCAGCACCATCTGACTCCACTGCATTGGCATTAATAAACCACAAGCTATTGATTCCTATGTCCAGAATGAGGCTTTTACCTGGATATGCCTGCTTGGAAGTGGTAGTGTCCCTCTTTCTCTGTGCCTCTTGGTGTTTGGTGGGGTTGAGCCATTAGAGGGCAGGGACAGGGGGGGGTATTTATGGTTTATTTCTGGCCACAACAGCAGAAAAGGGGAAGCTGTTGATACAGCAAGTCTGTCGCTTACATTGTGTCCGTAACACTGCCTCTCAATAGGCAGCTGTGTTGGCACACGCTACCCTGCCTGTCCGCCTGGCTGCCAGTGAGCACTGTGTGCGGGTACAGGGAGATAGAGCCAAGAGGATTCAGCAAACAGCCACGCTCAGCACAAACACATACATACACATACACATACACAGACACACACTCACGCGCACACACACACACGCGCGCACGCGCGCACGCACACACGCACACACACACACACACACACACATACACACACACACACACACAGGACTACACCCAATCTCTACCACACCAAACTTCCTCACACCTTTCTCGCAAATTTGGGTTGGTGTCATCAGATCAAATTCTTTCACTCACATGTTTAACAATAAACCTGAATAACTTTCATCACTTTCATCAGAGATTGTGATTTGATTAAAATTATTTTCATCAACACAAATCTTGATTATGTGAACACAACACTCACCCACCACAGGAAAGAAACACTAGACAGAGGCTGTAGCTAAAGTCAAGTAAATTTTATTAAGAATTTATTCGCTTTAGGACACTGGCCAGTACAACACAGTGCAATATACATCTTTACTTTCAAATAAAAAAAGGACAAGAAAGGACATAAAAATAAACCCTCAAATTTTATGACAAAGTAAAACATCCATGTACATAGAAACCAGGGACAATCACTCCAAAGACTCGATCAACACATTCACTTGCATTGCATGAGCACTCCAACAATACAGGAGACAAAACATGGCCAACAAGAGGGGGCAGAGGTCAGTGCTGTAGTGCATCAAGTGACAAAGTGCTTTACAGGAGCGCAGAGCGAGTGGGTGGATGGCAAACATGAGGAGTTCAGCTAGTAAGCAGGTGCAAACAGTCAAATCTGCTTGGAGTTATACAGAGGCTAGAGAGTCATTTCAACAATGTAGAGAACGAACGATCCCTCCAACTGGAGTCATGTAAACCAACACCCCAACTCTGAGCCAGTCAGTCTGAGCAAAGCCTGGTTTGACAATAAAGATTGTGCATGCACATTAATGGGGACAAAATAGAGGGAAAATTGCACATTCATTGGAAAAACATTGTCAAAACATGATCGAGGAGTGTGTGAGGGAGACATGTATGGCTTATAATGGATGCTTTCAGCTACAATCATTCTAATAAAGGAAGGAAGAAAGGTTGAGTAGTGTTTTCATAAAAGACTGAAGAATGTATTTGTGCTGAAAAGGAGTGTGCATGATTGACAGAAGCAAAACGTAGTTGGCCAAAAGTCCCCCATCGATCTTCCACAAAGACAAAACATATTTAGACAAAAGATATACAGTACAGTATGCAGGAGCTGGGACACTGTTAGGTTGCAGGGTCTATATCAAATTAAAAGGCTGTAGAGCCTCTACGGTAGTGATGCATCTGAGTGTTGTTTTTCAAAACTAGCTCTCTGTCTTTGTTAAATCAATGATAATACAAATATAACATTTCCTGATTACACTTACTAACATGATATACACTCCCACTGACAATCAAGTCAGAGGTGATTTGTTCTCTATGTTCAAAGATTACTAGCATCTGAAATGTTATCCTATGGCAATGCTTGTTTGACTCCCACCAACGACCTCCACAGATAACACATGCACGGACGACGCAGGCGCAGCCAAGTTGTACATATCAGTGGAGTAAGGAAACTAAATACAAACATCTCGTAGAGGATTGGCTGGATTGTCCTCCAGCTCACGATGAAGCACATCCAGGATAGAGAGGCGTCGTGGTCCCACAAGAACTGCCTTTTCTCCTCCCCTTTTCCTGGTCCCTGTTAAACCCTCCTGGTGCAGGAGAGCTCCCACAGGTTCAAGCATGAAATGGATAAAGAAGAGCAGCCCGATGTTTGTTTTTTTTCCTCCTTGCTTGTGTTTTTCTTTTTCAATAAGACATTGACTCTCCATTAAAAAAGGCACCATGCACATTTATCGACCCAGACGGGGAGAGAACAAAAAAAAAAAAAAAAAAAAAAAAAAAAAAAAAAACAACAAATAGAAAATAAAAAAAAACATCAGCAGCTGTAGATTCACCTCTCCTGCTCTCTGGGTCAAACGTTAAGACTGTGTAGCCGGGCGTATGATCGGCCGTATGGGTAGGGCTTCTGTTTTCATATAGATTCATCTGTTATAGCGTCAGCCATTCCAGAAGATCCCGCCATGAGTATAGGAGCGGGACGTCGCGTGACGGGGGTGTGAAGGGCGAAGGGGCGGCGCAACCTTGCGGAGAGAGAATGAGAAGAAAACAGTTGGCAAAGATTAATTATGGAGCGTTTTGATGTGCTTTTGGAAAGAGACACACAGAGAACACTAAAACTAATCTCAGCCCTCATTTATTTTTCCTAGCTCTCACTTTTCATATTGACTCAAACGCTCTTGGACTTCAGCTCTTTCAAGCCACTGGGGTGAGTCCTCCTCACTAAAGGATATGAGAAGTTTAATGTGAGAAAACAAAGAGCTAGAGCAATCCTTGTCTCCTGAAAAAGCATCCTCTATGCAAACGGTGTCTCTTACCCATTTTCCTTTGCCAACCAGGTGGGGCAAGTACAACGGGCTCCCGGGGAAGGAAGGGGGACTTAGGCCGAGCGAGAAAGCTGGGAGGGTTAGAGGGAGTAGGTCCATCAGTTTGATTGTCAAGAGTCACCCCTCTTTTTGCAGCTGGGCCTGAGAACAGGAAGAGCCATTTCAGAAATTTCAGGGGAGTTGAAAATAAAAATACATCAGTTCAGTAGAAAAATACATCAAAGGAGCTGTGCTTTAATGTCAGAGTCAGATTCCATTGGTTAACACAAGAATACTTTAAGTAGAATTCGTTTTTCTACTCAGGAAAAGGCTCAACCTTTAAAGCTTGAAGGGTCCCATCCCAGGGAACAGGGCGCGACTTCTCTTCTGTGGTGGGAGAAGGCAACAGCAGGATTGGGCGTCAGCTCCTCTGGCCTGCTCCTCAGAGTCTGAGTCATCGTCTTTACTCTAAACCTTTGCCTCTGTTCATGGGGGGAAACAATATATTTTCGTACATGTCAGCATGTATTTGTCAGTTAAAAAATGGGGGATGAGGTGGGTTGCAGTGAGCACATTCGTTTTCCACTAAAACTGCAAATTCGACTTTAACAAAATTAATTTTCTGAGTGCATTAATTATTCACCACCGGTGTTCAGTGTAGAACGTGATGGAGAGAGCTCGTAATCAAGATTTTAAGCTTGGTTTTGTTTGGTGCAGAGAGGAAGAATGAAGATTAACAAAGAATAAAGTGCTTAACGCTGTGGAGTTCGGTAAAGCCCAGTCCTCAGTGTATCCTCGCCTCTCCCTCTAGCAGCCGCGCACTGCTGACGGGCGGCTCGCTGGGTCGTGACCGGTGGCGCTCGTTTCTTCCCCGCTGGGCTCTGGAAGTCGGAGAGCGCTGGTGTCTAACAGAGTGGTCGGAGCCTGGATGTCAAGAACAGAAGAAAATATATGAGGCAAGATGTAAACAGGCAAGTCTCATCGAGAACATAAAGTGCAAAACAGTTGGATGAGCCATTCCGCCCATGTGTAGAGGCTACAGTCCTCGTCTGCAGTTGGCCCCGGTTCGAGTCCCGATCGGACAGCCCTTAGCTTGCATGTCATTCTCCTCTCTCCTGCCTCCCCATTTCCTGTCTCTCTCTACTGCACTTTGTCCCAATAAAGGCACAAAAGCTGAAAAAAATAAATAAAAATAAATAAGATAAATAAAAAGAAAGCCCAAACGGGAGTAAAAAACAAATCACCAAATAACAAGTCCCAGACATGACGGAGACCGCAACATTGTAAATCAAAGCTTCCAACAGTGTTGACAGGAAACAAAAAGTATGACTCAGACTATTTGATTGTAACTGTGGTTACAGCAACCACACAGTTTTGTTTTTCAGAAGTTTTTTCCTAACTTTTTTTTTATAACACCATTTCAGCTCACTCCTGCCACTCCAGCTCAAGAAGACAACATCCAGCCCTTCACCAAAGGAAGAAAAACTCCCCCACACAACGCCAGGTGGATCGTGCCTCACAGTTGAAACTGACACTTCTGTGACGGCCTTCAGTTTCCTCCAATCGTACATCTGAACGAGCCAGCCACTCTCTTTTCCCTGATGTAAGTGTACCTGCAGTGACACGCTGAGTCAACCACAGCTCTGGTCTTTTTATGTCAACATGTGCCCGGTCCGTCATGTCTGACTGTGTGTGATTTTGTTTTATCCGTTTGGGTCTTTTTCTTTTTTTAATTTAATTTATTTATTTTTATTTATTTTTTTCAGGCTTTTTGTGTGCCTTTATTGACAGTGCAGTAGAGAGAGACAGGAAATGGGAGGGGCAGAGAGAGGAGGAATGACATGCAGGCTAAGGGTTGGTCCGATGCGGGACTCGCACCGGGGCCAACTGAGCGAGGGACTGTAGCTCTACACATGGGGCGGATGCTCATCCCAACTGTTTACACTTATGTTCTCGATTACTTGCCTGTTTACATCTCTGGCTCATATATTTTTCCTTTCTGTGTCTTGACATCCAGGCTCCGACCACTCTGTTAGAACACCAGCGGTCTCCGCTCCAGAGCCCAGCTGGGGAAGAAACGAGCGCCACGGTCACGACCCAAAGCAAGAGCCGCCGTCAGAGGCTTGCGCTGCTAGAGGGAGAGGGAGGAACCACTGAGGACTGGCTTTACCGAGACTCCAACAGGTTTAGCATTCCCCTAAGATGAGCTGTAATCTTTGTGTTATCTTCTCGTTTGCACCAAAACAAAACCAGCTAAAATCTTGATACGATTGCTCTTCCATCAGTTTAGCACTGAACAGTGTGAAATGGTTGCACTCAGAAATTTTAAATTTTTGGTAGTCCTGAATTGCAGTTTTAGTTTGGAAAAACCGAATGTCTCACTGCACCCACCTATCCCATTTTTAAACTGACAACTACATGCTTGGACATGTTACGAATAATTTGGTGTTTTTCCCCATTGACAGAAGGCAAAAGGTTGAGAAGTTAAAGACGAGACTCAGACTCGAGGAAGCAGGCCAGAAGGATGCTGACGCCATGTCCTGCTGTTGCTCCCCTACCACAAGAGGGCGCCTGTTCCCTGGATGGACCCTTCAGCTTTGAAAGTGAAGCCTTTCCTGAGACGAAGAAAAACGAATCTACGTGAAAGTATTCTTGTGTTAATGCAATTGGAACTGACTCTGACCATTAAAGCACACCTCCTTTTCATGTATTTTCAACTGAAACTGAATGTGTTTTTATTTTCAACTCCCTGAAGTATCTGAAATGGCTCTTCCTTGTTCTCACGGCCCCAGCTGAAAAAGCAGGGGTGACTCTGAAATCAAACTGCATGGACGCTACTTCCCTCTCCCTCCAGCTTTCTCGCTCGCCTAAGTCCCCCTTCCTTCCCCGGGCAGCCCGTGTACTGCCCCGACCTGGTGGCAAAGAAAATGGGTAATGAAGACACCGAATTTGCAATAGAGGATGCTTTTTTCAGGACAG